CCCCAAAACCCCAAAACCCCAAAACCCCTAGAGGTCAAGATTGTCCACTAAAACATGTTAATGATAAGGATATCAAATTAAATAAAATATAAATTTTGGATAAATTATAAATTTGTTAACCATGTACATTAGGAAGTAAACTAAACTTAGTTTTGAGTTACCTGAAAATGATATACCTAACTCAACACTGCCTTAAACGAGATAATCTCGAGACAATAAAAGATAGAATAGTCAAAGTAGAGGGTTGAAGAATAATTAATGGAAGAAAAAAACAATGGATTGATATGAAATGCTGAAAGAGACTGGATTATCTGATGAGGTAGCAATCAGGATAACAAAGAGATACAAGGAGTAATCTTAGACTTTAGAGAAACTGACTCAAATAATGGAGGGATTATAAAAATATAGAAATGAGTTCAAAGCAAACAGACAACCTAAGTATAAACTGAAATTCAGAGAGGGTTCCCCAGATTAAATTTCATTTTCAAAAGACGATCCCAGTAGTTTTAGCAAATAGTCATTAGCAATTGAAAATGCTGATGTATTTTCATAAAAAGATTCTCAGAGAGGGCATTAAAAGACTGTAAATAAAAGGGTATCAAAGAAAATAGAGGAAGATTATCTATTAGATAGCAGTAGGGAGCATACTAATCATAACAGGTCTCCTTAAATTTAGATTGAACTCAAGGATATTATTGCTTAGAAGTCTAGGAGTAACTAAAGGAACGTGCAATATCGTAAAACATCAGAAAATATTGGAAGTAACAGGCAACATCAAGCTTTCTTATCTATTGGAGGTGCTGAGTTGAAAACAGTAAAAGATACAATGTTTATTTCTAATGATAAAAGAAATATTGACTAGGTAGAAAACTTATACTTTACAATGAATAATGAAGACAATGAAGAATTGCAAATTAGAACGCCAAAGAATCCAGAGGTTGTAAGTAACAAGTTTATAAGAAAAGATCTGATGAAATACAATAGACTGAAAAAGAGAGAATTAACACCCTTATAAGATGACGATTATCAAGTAAAATCTTTGCTTAAGTAACAAAAGTAAAAATCTAATAACAAAATTGAATAGTAGGAGCATTTCAAAGTTAGGTTCAAATTACCTGAACTCTCTGGTAGTTATACTAAAAGCAAGTCTAATAGCATAAATCCGATTTTAGAATCTACTAATTTAAAAAACTAAAATTCAGATAAAAATGACTCACTTACCAATATCATAGATATTACTTCCAAAAGAGAATATCATTCAAAACCATAAACTAGATAATAAGATACAGCTAATATAGACTTAAAATAGCTCCAAGTTGAAAAATTCTTTGATTCTGATTAAAATACACTGAGAGATAGAGATAGCAGAAGAAATAAGCATAGATTTGTTGATACCATTGTCAGAGTAAACCAATCGATTTCCAGTGAACAAAATTACGATAGAAGTCTCATTTCTTAGTCTAGAAGAAATCATCCTTAGCTGTAGTCTGTAGATTTTTGGAAAGCTTAAATATCAAGGCTCCCTGAAAAATCTTAATTCCCAATGACTTCGAAAAAGATTGATAATAAGCTTTTGCACAGTGTTGATTTGAGTTTTAGACCAGCTATAGATAAAATTGGAGTTAAGTTTATTTGATATGATTATCAAAAGTATGATATATATTAGAGTTAAATAATTATCAAATTTATTAATAACTAGTTCAAATCAAATATTTCAGACTGATGGGGTTTTGGGGTTTTGGGG